TGTCAAGGGGTCTCCTCCATTTTTGAACTCCATATAAATAGAATCAGACTGTAGGATCCCATGTGTGCCTATGCTCACCGGTCTGAGAGTCTTACCCATACTGTTTTATACGTTAGTAGCCAGTTTCTTAGTTTTAAACAATATTGTTCCATTGTGTGACTATATCTAGTTGGTTTGCCCAGTTTTCTGTTGATGGAGGTTTTGGTGTATTGCTCAGTTTGGCGGTATTGTGGATAGAGCTAGCACGGACATTTTCAGAGAAATCTTGAAGACACGCGCCTTCATGTTTCCTGGCTAGTACCTGAAGTAAGATAACTGTAGGGATATAGGTGTGAATCAGTTTTCTGATTACTGAAATTTTCAGTTAATAAAACAAAGTGCCCATCAGCAGTTGTCAACCTGCAAGTTACGACCCCTTTGGAGGTCACATGACCCTTTTGTGGGCGTCACCTATCAGAAAGCCTGCACATCATTTTTATGATATTTCCATTATGATTTATAACAGTAGACAAATTACAGTTATAAAGTAGCATGGGAATAATTTTATGGATGAGGGTCACCACCACATGAGTTTCGGAAGGCTGAGAACCCAATATTCCTTAAAAAATGCTGGTGAGCCCCCCCCAACCCCCAGCAGCCTGCCCAAGATCCCCAGGCAGTGGGCTCGCAGAGCAGCCGTGAGTCAGGCAGAGACGGCTGCCATAGAGGTGCAGATTCCCCGCAGCGAGCGGCAGAGCGGTGGTAGCTCATCCTGGACAGGCTGGTGCTGCCATGTGGCCGGGAGAGTCATCCAAGCGGGTGGGTGAGCAGGCAGCGGATAAAAGGCTTACAAGACATAGTAAATAGACATAAAGCTGAACATAAAGCTGAACATTTATTACTTGAAGGGGAGAGAGAGAGAGAGACAGAAAGACAGAGACAGAGAGAAAGAGAGAGACAGAGACACATGTGCACACGCCAAGAGCGAGAACAGAAAAAGACCAAGATGGCAACAAGAGGTCAGAAGTCACTGGGAGTGGGAGTGGTCTTAAAGGGGTCAGAGACCAAAAGGAATAACAGAACCACCGACTTAGTCAACTGGAAAAGGGGACAGGGCTGGTGTGGTCATCACTGTTGCCCCTAGGGAGTTGCTGACAATCAGTTACGTGACTTTAGTGAGGATGCCCAGGGTCCAGGTGCACCCACGATTGAGAGGCAGGTTGTATGCACCATGGCAGTCAGTAACCCTCAGCCTCTATCTACCCGGCTGTCTTCTTCCTCCCTCCTACCTGCTAGATGGATCCTTAAGGAAGTGACATTCCCACCCGGCAGAGAATTCTGTATTCCAGGAGCACAGCCGCCATCTTCCATAATGCTGCTCAGTCCTATCCTGGTAGTTACTGACTTAGCCTTGCGTGGGAAAGCTAAGTACAGTCAGGAACTGAGAGTCAGGTTGCCAGTGCACAAAGGGACTGTGACGACGACTGGCCTGTGTGAATTAACTTTTCAGGATTCCCCATCTCAGGCTGGTCCGAGACAGGGTAGAAAGGAATCTGGCTCACGCTGCGCATCAAGCTAGACTGGCAAGGACCTTGCTCAGGATCCCTAAGGCATACATCCAGCACTCCATGGAAGCACTGACAAAAGCCCTCAGCGCGCCTGAACCCTGGCTCCGGTGCCATACCTGGACATGCAGGAGGACGAAAGGCGCCCATGAGGCAGGGGGCACTGGGCCAGGCTCTACAGAGGCCACCCGCCCTGGCAATGCAGCTGTGGCAGCTGAGGCAGTTAAATGTAGCCAGGACCCATGATGCAAATCTCTAGTTGTGATCTCATTTTCTTGGTGGAGGGATTTGTTTGTGGACTACCTGAAGAGAAAAACTCCCAAGAGGTCCCAATAAGTCAAACAGTCTTATTTACCACCAGCGCGGCCTCGGCCTCCAGTAGGTTTCAGCTTTTAAGGGCAAAAATACACCATTGTGAAGTATACAGAAAGCAAGTGTTTACAGAGGATGTTTACAGAGGCGGAGAGATAACGGTTAAGTGGTCAGGCAGTTGCCCTTTCTCTCTCAGAGTCACACTGTATAGGAATTTAGGGCTAGTCCGAAGAGCCGTTTTGCCCAAGATAGTTTTAGCACTTAAAATATTCTTAGGAATACGTTCGTGAGACAGCTTAAGTACAGTTCAGCTGCCCTACAGATGGCACCTATTACCTCACAGACTGAGCAAACACTGGACCACAAAACCACACGCCCAGCCCAGGCTGCAGCTTGGGAACAGCACCTCCTCTTTCTAAGACGTACGTACATACATACGTACTTACGAGGCACATTCAAGGAAGCCAGAGCGTGCTTCCTTAAGCGCTTCATGGAAACCCTTACCAGCAGCCAATTTACAGTGCATCCTCCGCACATTTAATCCATGGCACACAGGTTCTGAGAAGTTTGAGATCAAGAAAGGGGTTTAGTAAGGCTGTCTGCTATGACTGCAGTTAGTCAGTACCATGGACTCTGTTTAGATAGACGCCAGGACTGAGGATATAACTCAGTGGCGGAGTGTTTCCTGCGCATTCGTGAGGCCCTGGTCTCTGTCCTCATCACGTATGCAAACATAAACCTAGGTGTAGCCCTATGAACTGTGGCCTCTGCTCCTCAGGAAGCCGAGGCAGGAGGATTGCTTGAACCCAGGAATTGCAAGACAAACTGGGCAACCTAGTCAAATGCAGATTCCAAAACAAAAGAGCAGAGCATAGGGATTGCTTCCCTGTTCTGGAGGCTGAAGCTGAAGTGGAGGGGCCTGCAGGGCTGGTTCCCCCGTAGGCAGGCTTGGAGGGAGTAGCGGCCACTCCCAGTTTCTGGTGGTTGCGGGTGACTGTGGGCAACTCTTGACTTGTAGATGCCCTGCCGAGCGCTGCCCCTTCTTCGCATGTGTGGAAGTCTTTGTCTAAATTTCTCTTTTCGCAAGGATGTTCATTGCATAAAGGGGCTGCCTTCTCCCAGGGTGAGCTCAAGTAGCGGCAGCTGGACGAGGGTACTCAGCCAGTGCGATAAGCTTACTAGGAGCAGACCACCCAAAGGACGTCCTTAACTTCCAACCATTATCACCTGCCAGAGCAGCACTCAGTCATCGGTAAGTTTAATGGAGGCCTGAGTCTCAGTAGTTTACCCTGAAGCAATACCTGGTTGCGGTAAGAACCACAAACTTAGATTACCCAAGCAGTACCCAAGAACAGACCATCCAGGAAATTCCTAACTTTCCAACCACTGTAGATAGGATCACCTGCCAACACACATTCACCAGGACACCCTCAGACAAATGTCAGCCAACCAGGGGTCCTGAACCTTAGAAATCCCTTGTCCCCACTAATATTCTTTAAAAAAATGCTGGCCGCCGGTTCCCAAGCAACCTGCCCAAGATCCCCAGGCGGTTCCTGAGTCCTGGGAGAGACGGCAGGCAGTGGGCTCTGGGAGCAGCCAGTGCAGCGGCAGGCAGACACATGGGAGGCGGGCAGGAGACAGAGACATGGACATGTATAGTGAGATTGAAATATTTATTCAGGGGGTTATGGAGGAGAAAGGGAGGGGGCAAAGAGAGAAAGGGAGAGGGAGAGAAAGAAAGAGAGAGAGAGATGGGGAGATGGAGAGAAAGAAAGAGAGAGAGATGGGGAGATGTGCGCAGCCCCCAGAAGAGAGCAGTAAGAATGTGTGTTCCAAGATGGCGGGGAGAGGTCAGGGGTCGCCGGGAGTGGGCGTGGCTTGCCCCCGTAAAGGGACCAGAGATCAAAGGAATAACATTCCCACATCTTCCTTATAATAAAAAGCAGGAGATTAGACACCACAATTTGAAGAAATTGGGGCGGCGAATTCTCAAGACTGTTTCCGCTGATTTGTGGGCATTGTCTTTGGTGGGGGGGAACCCGAGAGAAGGCTGGGTGCTGGTCACATCCTGGCATAGCTGGTCTCTGCTCCCAACAGGTGTCTGTGGCATGGAAATGTTTGGTGTCCCTTGTACCTGGTTAAGGTATTGGCAGAACAGAGGACAAAATTAAATTAAGGAAAAAAAATTTTAGGACCAGGGAATTGAGGGGGATGTATCTGACCTGTTTAAGGTGGGTTCTTTAATTTGACTCCCTAGAACTCACAAGAACTCCTTGGGTTTGTAAAAACAAAAGTTTTAGACATATACATTGTATAATGACCGTGATATATTTTTGTATAATGAAAAGTATTTTTTACTTGGTGAGGTAACCTGGCAAAACCTCTCAGCTATCAAACTGTCAGAGATCTTTGAGAATGATAAGATTTTACTTGAGTTACTGATTAAAAAATGACAGAGAACTTACTTGGTTGGCACCCAGAGCTACTCTTTTGGGTCCTCCATGGTCACTGAAGGTTGTACGTGACCTTTGGTGTTTAGTGCAGGGTCTGTCTGGCTCCAGAAGACCCTGTGGGCTAAGAAATCTGTAGGAAGACAGGCCTACCTTGACCAGAGCAGCTAGGCTGTCGAATCCAGTGATTCTGTCCATGTCTGGAGGTCTTCAGTATAGGTGAAAGACAGTTTTTCCCAATGGTCAGTGCTCGGCAGTCAAAGTGAACTGCAGATGGACGTTTCTCTGAGACTGCAGATGGACGTTGTTCTGCACCCGTTTGTCTTCTGTCTTCTTGGAGGAAACAGAGTGCTGCTGCTAGGAGCCAACCTGTCTCTTTTCGTTATGAAAAGTTTTTTTTAATAATTAAATATTTAAATATCACATTCTCCAGATCTCTGAGCAGTTGAGGGCTGTTTATTATTTATATTATTAGGTATACAGTATAGAATCTGTCTGGAAGGTTGGGTCTGAGCTTGATTGTACTGGCTCTTAATAGGTAAGATTTACACACACACCGCACACACACCACACACACACACATCATACACATACACACACAGACACACACAAACAGCCCACATACACCATACACACACCACACACTACACACCACACATACACCATATATATACACACACAAACACCACACACACACACACACACACACACACACACACACACCGTACACACCATATTTCAAGTCTAGAGCTTACCTTTGGATCTTTCTAAAGTCAGGTGTCACTGGAGACTCTATCATTGCCTGGGGTGTCATCTAGACATCATCAACCTATGAGTGGCAGGTAGAGATGTCCATCTAGACATTATCAGCCCCTGACTGGCAGATAGAGCTGTCCAGCTAGACATTATTGGTCCCTGATTGGTAGGTGGAGATGTCCATCTCGATCATCAGCCCCTGACTGGTGGGGGGAGGGTCATCTCAGATGACTGAAAGGTAGCCCAGGACCCTGCCCAGAGGCAAAACAATGACTCAGCACTTCCTTCATCTTCAGCTCCACCCAGGTCTTAGCAGAAGACACCATATCCCAGAGTGTGCCTTCTAGACTGAGCAAAAGAAATATGTCTCAGTTGACACTCGGAAGCCCTGGGCCCTCTGCCCCAGTATGCTCGGGAACTGCAGCTCTGGAAAGGCGGGAATGTGTCCTGTGTCTGAGGCAGGAATGTGATGCCTAGTTCTGGTGCAAATGGGACATAATAGTGAATGGAGCTAGGTGAACATTCACCAACACAAACGCTTCCCTCTTGTGCCTCCCGCACTCTGGAGGAGCGGCCCAGGCCTTCCTGAGAAAGAATAGCCCTGTTGGAACGCTCCCTTCTGATTAACTCAGGGAACCCGGAGAATAGAAGGGGTTTTATTAAAACTCGATGCCCAGCTGGTTCTCAACAAATCACTGAATCTGACATGAGCGTCTAATAACCAGAGGCTCACTCAAACGCCACAATAGGGGGCTGCTTTGACATCTTATTGACACAAAGAGTCACATTGAAGGAGACCAGACGGGTGACATTTAGATGCATTTGGATGAGAATCAGCCAGGCAGACAAGAGGGGCAGCCTTGGGTCTAGAAGAAGGCTGACTACGGACTGTTACATTTAAAATTGTAAAGAAAGAATTCATTAGCCCAGGGTATGATGCAGGCAGATGACGCGGTCCATAAGCTTCAAGAGTTTAAGTCGATAAACAATGAACATGGAATAAGCTTAATCAAGTAAGGGATCTCATGGCTCAAAGGGCTCACAGGTTAGCTGCAATCCTCCTAGGTGTCCATGATCAGAAGGAGAAGTGGTACGGACAGATCCCAGTATTAGTCAACCTTAAAGAAGAATGGAACCCAGGTATTTGCAGCAAAATGGACGCAACTGGAGGATGTTGCGGTGGGTGAGAAGTGAGGCAGACATTAAAGACAAGGACCACATGTAGTTCTAGAACTACAAATCTCCCAGACGCATTCTGCAGCTCCCTCGGGGTTCCAATGGTCATGTCACATACCTCCCTCCCACTGAGGATGGACCATGCTGGCGGTGGACTATCCCAGAGACAGTGATTGCTAATATACTCAGAAATGGGATGTGGTACAACTTGACTTTCCATGGGAGTCAAGCTTGAAATGGTCGCTCTTGAAAATGACCCAATCCCCAAAGCCGGTAGAAAGTTATGTTGAGCCTTCAAAAGCAAGAGTCAGGCTGTGCATGAGGGTGGCACAATCTCGTTATCCCAGCAACTCTTCAGTTGAGGCAGGAGGATCCTGAGTTTGAGGTCATCCAGAGCTACATAGCAAGAACTTCCTGAAGAAAACAAACAAGCAAGAAATTAAAAATAAGAGAGAGATGGTCCTCAGAGATGGTGGGGGCGGAGCTCAGTGGTAGCTGGGGTGCTGAGCAAGGGCCCACTGAAAAGCCAAGTCAGAGTAAAAGTCATGCCCACTCAGCTAAAGGCATTTGCTTTTCTTACTTTCTTTATGAACATCAATGCATGACTGATGGAGACACTTTTAGGGGTGCTTGGAACACAGCTGTCACCAGCAACCAGGCATCACCAGGTCTAGAACCTTAGGTTGAAATTCCCCAACAATCTCTGTTAGCTACAATATGTCCCATTCTGGTCTTCTCTATAAATGGAGGAAGGGGTTTGTTTAATAATGCTTAGCTCTTATCACTGTAAATCTGAGAAGTCTCTAGTGCCTTCCCATAATTCCAAAAGAGTCTTCATGCTCTCTGAAGGAGAAGAAGCAGGCATTACACTTGTCTTCCAGACTGCCCCCAGGCTGCTGCCAACTCTTAACCTTCCCTGGCCTCCTGAGACCCCTCAGCCAGGGGACTGAGTGCCTGCCCAGGGTTGTCCCAAGCTATCCATGCTGTGGTCTCTTTCACTTGCTGTTAAGTTCCTCAGGCTGGCTGCAGTGACTCTCACATGGCTACCACACGTCATAGTATGGCTTATTATTGACCTTAGTATTAGCTAATCTTTATCAAAACCCCGAAGTGGGCGACTCCCTCAGGGTTCCTCTGTGGCTCACAGCCCAACTCCTTACAGAATCACAGGCCCCACAGACGAAACCCTGGCGTCTCCAGAGCGTGATCCGTGAGCTTGTTTGATTGGCTAGTGTTTGATCACTGCTGAATTACTCACACTGTTCCTCAGCCCGCTGTTATGAATGAACATGAATCAGATAAGAGCCAAAGTTCCCTGGGTGACTTCATTCGTGCCCCTGAAGTGAAAGCAGGCCACGGGGCACTATCACTCCCTTACCTGGAAGGAGCCCCACATCACTGCTGTGGGGTTCAGGAAGGGGACCCTAACCTGAATGGAAGTCTACAGAGCTCAAAATGCCAGACCCCTGGGTGTGGGGCTCTCTTCCTGAGGAACGTGTGACCCTCTGGATTGTGAGAAGGGAAAGAAACCGTGTGAGTCACTGCACGTTACAGGCGGAAGGTGGAGACTCTCCACTCCTTCCTCCCTTCTCTGAGTCCCAAGACCTAAACGGATCCTTTTGGCTGAGCAAGATTTTCTTGGTGTGGCTGAACTCCGGTCCCCTTTTGGGCTGTCCCTGAGAGTGCTCAGCAAACCAGATCTGCTCCCCGGATTGTGGTGGAGCCATGCCAAGGGCATTGCTTTGGTGGAGTCAGGATGTGACAGTGGCTTGAGAACCTTTTCAGCGTGAGGGACTTCGGTTCCCCGGGGTCCTAAAAACTCTGTCACCCTCTCTGCCGGGCTGGGCCATCTGTCACCTTCCCCCTAGTTCTTTGGGCTCTGTCCCACCCTGTGTTTCACTCACTGCCCTATTATCAATTCTGCCTCTCACTCACTTCTAGTGAGGCAGGGGTGGGGTGCGGGTGGGGTGAAGGGGTAGGGGGTGGGCAGGGCAAGCAAGGTGTTGGTTTGGAGCCTGGGCTCCTCTTCTATTGTCCTCTATCTCTACGCTCCCCCCATCAATGGATAAAGGATTTTTATCAAAGACTCTTCTTAATAGAGATTGCAACCACGGGGAAGATACTCTGGGCAGAAACAACCACAGAACACAGTGTTTGAAGTCCTTCCACGCTCTCTCTATAGAAGGAGGCTCACGGTGACCTGGCCCAACACCCTCATTGTGCAGGCAAAGAAAGGGATATCCAGGCAAAGAGACGGTTTATATCTTGTCATGTGGCTAGTGCTTGACTAGACCAGAGTCCTGCTTGGGTCACCCTTTTAAGGGCTCCTTAGCTGAGCTCATTTCAGTCTCAAAGCACATGTGTGGCTGCAGGTTCAATCTCTTTCCTCACCCCCACACCCACTAGCATGGCACGAGGACTGCAGGCTGTGTCTCTCCCGTCCCCATCACATCCTCATGCCAGAATAGTGCCTGACACACAGGAGGACCTCAGTAAAGGTCGCTGTTGGTTGGCCGATGAGCTCCATCCGTGCCCTTTCAATAGTCAACCCTCTGGACTCTTACTGCAATGGATCAGGTAGTCACCAAGTAGACAAACAAGAGGGTGGCTGTTACTCACCTCTCCTGCCTTTGGCACACAGGGAGGTTACCTCACCCACCTCCAGGCAGGAAGAATTGCTGAGTTACCCATTTGCTGGAGAGCCCGGCAGGGCTTCAGGTTCTGCCTGACCATCCATGAGGCCCTGTTGAGAAACCAAAGACAGTGGCTGAGACAGATGGGTGAACACTGTGCCACTCAGCAAAATGGTCTACATGTGTGATCTGTGGCTTTGTGCCCAGAGCCAAGGAGACGCTCACACAAGCGAGCATTTGCTGGTGGTGCCCCTCAGGGTTACCGTGATTATTTGGAACTGTGTTTCTTTAGGGGAAATGACATGATTCTGTGCAATGTATATGTATGTGTGTGTGTGTGTGTGTGTGTGTGTGTATGTATGTAAACTACACACACACACACATACATGTCTCCTTGAAAATTTAAAATGGTTTTGCTGTCTCACCTCCTTTTCTGGCTTCTCCAATTCTTCCTTCTTTCTTCCTATTCTGATTGGGCTGTAGCTAGTAGACCTGGGCGTTCAAATGTCTGGCTTACTCATAGTAAAATGGCCCGAATGCAGTGATACAGAGGCCGAATGGAGCTTCAGATATTGGACCCCTAAGGAATGAGGTCAAAGGTTTTGTCAGCCAAGGGACCAAATAGCTTTCTGGTTCCATGGACACAAATTGCTCCTCCAAACCAACAACCTCCTTTTTAATAACCTATTTTCCCAGGCCCGCACCCTTAGTGACACAGGCCGTTTAGCATCTAAATGGCCGGGCCTTTCCCCTGGCAGCACACGGGGCTCTAAGCATGAGAAGGCAGCTCCCTTAAGTTTAGGAGGCTTCCCAGTTTCCCTGGGGCATTTTTGCTCTGATTTGCATTCCTCTGAGACTTCCTTCTTGAGGATCTCTCTCCCTCGCAGGAAAGTGAGAGGAGAGGAAGGAGGGGGAGGAGAAAAATGAGGCCTCAGAGGACCAGACGGTAAGCTGCTTTTTAAAGAAACCAACTGAAGTTGTCAGAGTTGTATTTAACAGTAAGCTCTCAACGCTCTTGACATCTCTACAAGGAGCTTCCGGGCTTTTGTATCCCAGTGACTAAGCTGGGCTGTCCCCATTTCTGTTCCCACAGGTGTCTGGTACACTACTCAGGAAAGCCCTTTCTCCTTCAGGAAAGCCCCCGGGTGCCAGACGAGGCTGCAGAAGGATGAGTCTCACAGTGCTGAAGGAATAGTAGAGACTAACTTTTGGAACCCTCCCTCCAAGTCTCCCTGCCTCCCTTCCTTTTCTCTCCCTCCCTCCCTCTCTTTCTTTTTCCTCCCTTTTGACCAATTCGTGTAGCCCAGGCTGCTTTTGAATTTTGGTGTAGCTAAGAATGACCTTGGACTTCTGATCTCCCTTCCCCCACCCCCTGAGTTGTGGGATCCTAGGAATGCATCACCACACCTGATTTATCTGGTGCTGGGGTCGAGCACGACCAGCTGAACCTTTTGGCACCAGCCCTGAGCAGAGGGAGTTCTGTCAGGAAGCTGGCTGGAGTCTGTGTTTCCTGGTCAGGTAGGGTATCAGAGGCACAGATATCAGGGTCTTTTCGGGGGATTCTGCTCCGGGATGCTGTGGGGGTGGGGAGGACCGAGGGGATGCAGAGAGCAGAGGCTGCAGGGGTTTGCAACTCGGTCACCTGACCACAAACCTGCTGGGCGGGGGAACAGAGGAGAGATTCAAATGGAACAAACAAACCAAGCTGAGGGAAGAGGGGAGGAACAGAGACCTGCAGGCACCACAGCCTCCACCACTCTCTCCAGAGTGAGCCACAGAGCCTGAAAGGCCAGTTTGGTGACTGGGTGGAGAAGAAAGATTTCTCTTCAGCTGAGGGAAGGTGGAAGCCAACAGGAGGATAATTGCTGGGGCTGCCTTTGCATGGGTGTCCAGATGGGCCCTCTCATTTCTAGTCCTTTCTTCTGGGCTGAATGGACAGTTTCAGCTTCATGAGAAGAAAGTGCTTCACCTGGACCTGCGGGCAGAGTTACAGAGGGGCCTGTTGGTCTGCTCTTTGTAGACAAGCTTTCAGAGAACTGCCCTTGCCTGAGGCTGCATCTAGGGTCTGAGAGGGCCTCTGTCCTGAGGGTATAGGGGAAGCCAGCAGGCCTTCTCCGGGTCTAGATGAGGTGAAGATATGTCCTGCAAAATCTCAGGGAGTCTGGACACCTGTCCAGGGACCGTCTCTTTCTGGACAGTATTGCCCACAGACATCTTCTTCCAGGGACTGGAGACCCCCACTCTGTCAGAAAGGCTCCTCTCTGGCTCACAGAGCTGTTTCTGGGCAGTCCCTAGCCAGTCACCTCAGGAAACCCTGGGGTACGCATTTCTGTACCCATCCTTGAGTGTGTGTGAGGTGTTGACTCTGGGGTCCAGGCCCTGGTCCCTCTCCACACCCCCAACTCAAATATGAACTCAACCCCTGGAGCCTCCCTGTGCACTCACCTCAGAAGTCTCAGGCTAGACCATCAATCACTTCCCATCCCTCCACCGAGGCAGAACCCCAGCCCTTTGCTCATCAGGGTTTCAGACCCCCCCTAAAAATGTGCCAGCTTGCTGCCTCCCCTCTGTGCCCATCCAGTGAATCTTCTGACCCTTCCATTCCTTCTAACCCCCACGCAGCCACTTCTGTGTGCAGCCCCACCTCCACCTCTCTGCTTACTGCCTTGTGTCCTGGCTTCAAACTTCATGTTCCAGAAACATCCGAGGGCAGCGCTGCTCAGAGCTCCTTCACCCATTACCTTCTTCACTTTATTCCTTATTGACAGGTTCAACCCTCACATAACAAATACACCTCTCTCTCTTTCTCTCTCTCTCTCTCTCTCTCTCTCTCTCTCTCTCTCTCTCTCCAGAGTTTCTCTGTGCAACCCTGGCTGTCCTCAAACTCAGAGATCCGCCTGCCTCTGCCTCCTGGGATTAAAGGCCTGTGCCATCACCACCTGGCTGTCTTTCATCTTAAGACCCCTTTTTGCTCTATGCAGCTTTGTCCCTCCCTGGCAGCCCAGGGATTCCTGCAAAGCCCCTGAAGTCTGCGTCAACACAAGCCCCACCTGGCACTGATGCTCAGCGCCTGAGAATGTAGAGATGGGGGAAGAGAAAGTCGGATCTAGGTCAGGACTTTTCCGAGTTGTACCTGCAGGAAGAGGCAGACCTGGGATAAAGCTAGAGATGCCAGCCTCCGGGGATGCCCCTCAGCTCCTCACCTTAGCGTTCCTGGCCCTGTGCTAGGTCCTGCTGGCTGTGTAGCTTGTGTTCTGTTCCTCCTAGTTCAAGAGTACTCCCTCATCCAGCTGCTGCACTGTTGGTGGGGAAAGCACAGGGCCGACCCTAGAAGGTTTGCAGTCCAGGAGGGGAGGCAGGCCATGGAATAGTCTCTCGAATCACCGCTGTTTATCAACCATTACATAGCCTAAGGGTGACTGTGGCTCTTAAACTAAGGGCCAACCAATGAAAACACGCTCCCTGTACAAGAGCCAAACAATGGCCCTTGTTCAGCAAGCCCTTTCTTTGCCTGCCTGTGCCACCCCAACTGTGCAGCTACTTCAGCCGCCCCTGGACCCCAGGGCACCTGGCAGTACTTGGTGACAATGACTGTATCTCTACTCAATGAGGATCTCCCTTTGCAGGTACGGGGAGAAGAGTATGCAATGTTCGTTGTGGCCCCGTGGTGTGTGCCTAGAAGAAACACAGATGCCTAGTTGTCGGAGGAAGGGGGAAGAACAATGGGACAGTCACATACAAAGGGACTCTGTGTCAGGAAGAGTTAACAGGCAGATGTACACACAGCAAGTAGAAAGATTATAGACACGCAGAAGGAAGGGGCAGAGTGGGGTCTGCAGCGCTGGTGCCGTTATATGCAAATTTCCTGGGGTTCCTTTTTGTACACAGACTCTCTAGGTTGTCTAGGCTGCCCTTGAACTTGTGATCCTCCTGCCTCTGCCTCTCGAGTGCTGGAATTATAGGAATGTGTTACCATGCCTGACTCATCTACGTAAACTAAAGAACACCCCAAACTGTGTTGTTACATTATTTTCAAGGCTCTTATCTCTATGGAGCCACAGAGATGCAAGCACACTCTGTGAGCACACACGTATCTAAGAACAGGTACCAGGTACATTATAATTGATACCTGCTCGGTGAGGATGGGAGTGGAGATGAGGGGTAGAGGGCAAAAATGCGGCACTACTCGCTTGAAAGGGCTTTGCACAACCTGGTCCTAATTGTACACCACAGTCAGCTCCTTCCCCTGCTGTCATGGCACCACACAAAACAAGGGCACACAACTCCGACAGTCAACCTGAAACACCCGAGCTTCTCAGGGCGTGGGAATGCTACTCTCTTTTCAGAGGTCTCGGGGATGACCTCACTCAACTCCCCGCGTGAGGGCTCAGCATCTTGAAGCAGCTCCAGTCAAATGACTTCAGAACAAGGAGAGGACAAGGGGCTTTCTCTAGCCCTCTGGTGCTCCTTCCTGCCCCAGGCTCTGTCAGGCTCCGTCTTCCAACTGCCCAAGCCAGCGTTCCCTTGTGTTTGTTTGAAGGGCTTGGCTGTGTTTGTCTTAACACACGGGCGCCCCATCTGAAGCAATGCCTTGTGCTCTTGTGCAGTCCAAAGGGAAGGTCTCCTAAGGAGTGGGGAGGCTCTGTCCTGCTCTATCAGCGATGTGTAGTGTTTTTCTCTTTCCAGGACAACGGCCTCAGAGCTCAGGTGAGGTCACCTTCTCTGGACAGGTGAGAGCAAAACCCAGACTCCAGTGGGAGGGATCCTGGTTAGAGGATATGACGTCACCGTGGCACCGAGACACAAGAAGGGATTGAAGGGACCGGCTTTCCCACAGCCTGTTGGGTATTCACTGGCTCTAACTGCGGCAGATCCAGACCCCTTGCCCTGTGTGGGCACACTGTGCTGATGTCAGCAGCTTGCTGGGACGCAGGTCCATAAAGCTGCTGGCAGAGGAATCGCATAGGTATCCGCGTGGGCCCTGGTCAAGGTTTATGATTGTCACTTTGAGGTGGAACAATACGTCCTCAGAGAAGCTGCTTTCAAGATGATTTCTATCCATAGTGCCGCCCAAATCCCCCATGAATCACTTGTTATTGTGATTATATTATATATTATATTATTCTTGTTGTTGTTAAATCACAGTGTGGATACATGGGGGAGATAGCACATATCGAAAGAGCGAGGTTTCAGAACCTGTATATTCCCATGGAAACAGCACGAAACATCCCCAGACCACAGAAGTTCCTTCACACCTGTCCCTTTCTCCAGACTACCCTCCAAAAGGAAGCCATGTTTTGAACACCTCAGATGGGAACAATTTGTGTGTGTGTGTGTGTGTGTGTGTGTGTGTGTGTGTGTGTGTGTATGCATACGAAGTACAGAAGTCAGCATCCGAAGCCTTCCTCTGTCCCATCCATCTGACTATGGGGGGCAGGGTCTCTCACAGAATCTCAGCTCACCAACTGGCTACACCGACTGGCCAGTCTGCTCAGAGATCTACCTGTCTCTGTCCGCCCAGCACGGAGAGGACTGGCCTGCATTATCTCATGGATGCTGGGGATACAAACTCAGATCCTCATACTGGCACATCAAGCACTCTGTCCAATGATCCATCTCCACGGCCACCACCTCAGTCTTGACTTATTGTATCAATATCGGGGTCAGAGAAGTCGGCAGCCAGGAAAGCCTGCACCGACCGACTCAGTTGTCGCCGGCTGAATTTGGGAATGCAGCTGGCACCAGCTTGAGCGTGCATCCTTTCGAAGTCCTTTGCTGACATGGGTAAAAGGGATATGGCCAGCCAGGGATGCAGTTGTCTAGGGTGGGGGGCCCTCTGGAGAAGGTCAGTTTAGCCACCAGCAGAATGAAACAGAAACAAGCCAGCAATCTTCCTCCTACATGTGTCTGTCTTCAAGTTAGATCTACGGCAAAGTATCATTCCCAGTCGGCTCTTGGGAAGAACACAGCTCAGTTCTAATATTCACACAACACTCAAGATCGAAGCCCCCTTGAAATGAGCTCCCTTGTCCCCACTGCCCTCGATGGGAGATAGACAAGGGACCAGCCATATTCCCACCCTGGGAACTGCTGAGGCTTGCAGGGAAATAAGTGGCCGGTGTAGGCACGAAGCCCCACAATGAGTTGGCAGGAATCCACATGGCAACCCAGGCTGGTTCCCAGCTCACCCTGGACCACTGGGACTCAGGCACTAGTCAGGGGCTGAAGGCTTTGCTGAGTATCCTGGCCGTACTGGGAGAGGGAGTCTGCATGGATGGGACAAACATGGCACAGGCTTGAGACATAGACTTCCTCCGCACACTGGGGCCTCTGGAGGAAAAGCCTCTATGGTGTGGCCTCTGAACTTTAAAGATGGGTCACTGGAAACCCATTCTGTGTAGGTAGCCACGCACACACGAGAAACAGTGGTTTGTTGCGGGCACGTTGTTCCTAGACTTTCGGTGCTGGAAATTCCCTGGAAGTAGATGACAAGCCAGAGTCCTTTTGGTCTTAGGAGTGTTTCTCATTTGTGGAAAAGAGTGGCCTAAGCTATTTAACTCCCACAGCTTTCCTTAAGGGTGTCCTCGTCAGAGCGCTGAGCCACGGCCAGGCGCCGAGCACTCAGGAAGTGGTCACAGGACAGGCTTTTGTCAGAGCCAACTCACCATGTGCTCAGCAGCTTCTTGGGTTCCAGAATGGTTGCAATTTTATTAACTGCCTCAAAAGGTAGGCATGGGAGACCCTTAGGTAACCCAGGTAGTAAACGGCCACGTTGGGATGGATTTGACTGGGTCCGTATGGCTCCAATGCCCCCATTCTCCCCAGAGAAGGTCAGCATGAAGACTGGTATGGGTGGGAGGTGGGGTGGGGGATCTTTGTACCTTCTAGCGAAAGTCCTCAGGGTAGCATAAACCGGGAAGTGGAGAAGGCGGGCACAATATCTCTAACAGTCTTACAGGAGTGGTCCATTAGCGCCCAAGGGGGAAGGAACTCGGTGGTCCCTGAACCCTACCTTCATTGAACAATGAGAAAACCCATTTTAAGAAGACAGGCACCTGGCCCAGCCCTAAGCAGTATAAAATGAATGGGGCATCTCATGAGTCCTAACCAAGTTTCCTAGGGCCTTCTCTTTGCCAGTGGCCCTGAAGAGTCTCTCTCTCTCTCTCTCTCTCTCTCTCTCTCTCTCTCTCTCTCTCTCTC